AATATATATATATAATTTTATATATATATATTTATAATAATTTTGTTTAAAATCATCATAATTATATATTTCATCCAATATATTTCAAAAAAAATAAATATCTATATATATATATAATTAAATTATACAATGGTTTAATCGTATAAATTTCAATAATACCAAAAAAATCTAAATATTTTTTTTAAATAAATTCAAATAAAATAATTAAGAAATTTATAAATACATAAAAAAAATCCAAATAATTTCACCCATAAAAATTATAATTTAATAAAAAATTATAAATTCAATTCCATTATAAAATATAATATTTATTCCTTAAATAATTCAATTTAAAAATATATATTATAATTTATATTTATAAATATAAAAAATATTTTTTAAAAAAATATATATAAATAAATTAAATATATATTAAAATTATACCTCAATTTTGCTATAATAAATTATATTTTTATCCTAATATATTATTTATAATTAATATAATTTTTAAATAAATAATATATAATAATATGTGATCTAAATTATTATCCCAATATATCAGGGTTCAGATAAGGGGGGAGGAGTTGTGCAGATGATTTTGGTAAATACAAAGCGGAATATATAGGGTGTACAATTACAAAATGCAGTATATGTTATTTTTTTTGCAGCTACAAAACGAAGAACATAATTCTTTCTGGCTCGGAAAATAATTCAAAATCAATACTACAAAATCCAATGCATCTGAAGTTAAAAAATAGCTGAACGTCGGAATTGCTAACATGATTTTTCCCAATGACATTTTGTAGTTGGGTCTTTGCCATCCAAAGTTCCGACCAACATAAATTCGGAGAACATTTTGTAGTTGTCAATCATTGAATTTAGTTGGATCAAGTGTTGACCCCGTGCAGTTTGTTAGATGGCATTCATGTAGCTTCATAATTTTATGTTGGATGCTTCAACTAACTCAACATATACAACTACAAAATGAAAATGATGATTTGAAAGGAATCAACTACAAAATAATTCCAAATACAAAATGGGGGGCACAACCCCTCCTGTTTGTACAAAAAAAACCTGGCTGCCAATCTGTACTGTAGCCCAAGTCCTCCCCATTTCGTAGCTGAAATTTGAAGGTGGATCCCAATATATTTTAATATTTTATATAATTAATAATTGTTTTATCCTCCCATAATGTTTAAAATAATAAAATATAAATATAAATATAATATAAAAATATATAAAGAAATTAAGTTAAATATTATATATATATGAATATAGTTTAATTATTTTTATGTCATATATTTAGTTATTAATATATAATATAATTAATTATTAATCAAATTTATATTTTGTGGGGCTAGTCCATATCGTCGAGCGATTTGGAGCCTGATAGTAATCGTAATTCAAATATATTCGGGTTGATTCGGATTATATCATTATTTCAGAAATAATAGGTGTATCTCCAATAAATAGAAATTAATATTTTCCCCCGCATTCAAATGATGTTTTATAAGAATATTTTTGCAATTCTTGAGATTTCTTGAGGTGTTTCTTGGAAGGTACAAGATACGAATATAATTTATATTCAAATCCCATTCAATGAGATGCAATTGAAGGTGGCTATAACTGGCACATTCTTCGGAACAAAGTTCCTCGCCCCCTTTGCAGCTGGGGTTGAAACCAGAAACCCGTCAAACAAACACAAGAATTTCCCAGAATTGTAACATAAACGAATTGGTTGCAGGGAAAATGTTCAAGAACTTCTTGTCTATGGAAATGTTGTCCTGCAAACTTTCTCTCAGACCCATCTATCATCGGTTATAATCTATCGACACCGTCAACTCCGGTAATTGGTACATTCAAAAAACGATAGGAATCTCAATGACTACCAGAAAGCTCGCTTGCTGAGCCTGCCAGACCCAGCTCGCCCAAGAGAAGTGATGCAGGGCCTGGCCTTGGCATTTTTAGCGAACTAGAAAAAAATCATGGGCTTTTAGACATTCATGGTGTTTTTTTTTTTCGATCTTATTGGACATCTATCCCCAATAGAGGTTCCAACTGGGTCTTTTTTTGTTTTTTGTTGTTTGTTTACTGGTGTTTTTGAGAAGTTTGATCATCAGGTTTACTGTCATGGGGCTGGAATGTCTCAATTCGTAGCTCCTTGGCTCCTCATGTAAAACAGGGAAAATGTATGGATAGCAATAGCTGTAATACTTACTGGATAGTTTGACCCCGAACCACCATATCATACTGGTGATTCAAAACCATGAAATATGTGCTTCGTTTCGCTCCTGTAAATTCACGGAAAAGTATGGAGGTGTCCATGGGTTTTTGCAGGAAAAAGATCTACAAATGCTGACATTTCCATATCTATGTTGATTTACTAGAGGTCTCAAAAACTACAATTGTAACCCCATCATAGTGGCTGGTTTATAGAGGTTCCGGGTTCCCATAATGGACTATGTGTTTTCGCCTATACAACTGAATAGCATTACCACCACAACAGTCTACGGCTTGGTGTTTTGAGCAGTGCTCATGTAGGTTTAAAGCGAAAACATTGATGACCGTTTCATGGAATGCAACTGGGAGATTTCACTGACAAAAACATACTGTGCAAGTTTCAACGCCTGCAAACATTAGACTAGTGATACAACCAACAAACAAATCCTTGTGCCATGTGCTTCTAATGATTGGTTGTGCGGACTGGTGAAATCCCTCGAATTTCAGTGCCAAACAGTTTACATTGCAGGCTTGGGCAGCCAACATGTTGTAGATTTGGCACCCCAAAGGGTCATCATTCGCCTGTAGAAGTTGACCTTGCAATCTAACCTGGCAATGGGAATACCTCAGATAGTTTTCTACCCATGGTTCGCATTTTCCATTTTCCATTGCTATTTTCATCAGATCAGGCGAGGATTCCCTTTGAAAATCCCCAGAGGCGGGAACAGAAAGTGATGAATTGCCTGAAGAAACTCAACAAATCGTTGGTAAAATGGCACGACAAGTTATGTTTGAAACTCAAAAAATCGTTGAGTCCTAAGAAAAACAGCAGTTTAACTAACAAAATGACCAGCACTCGCCGAAAGCCAGTGAGGCGTTCCACCTTGGCTCATGTCTCCACTATCAAAGGTCTTAAGATATGGGTTTGAGAATAGGCACCAACAAAAATTGAAGATTGGAAACTCCATTCATGTAGACAAACTCATATTGGCTTTGTCTAAAAATAGTGTACCCCTAAATGCACTGAATTATCGTCACAATATTTCCGTAGCCACTTGGGGGGGTACCACGATTTCAGACACATCCATATGGTTTCGGTTTCTCTGGTCAACCAAGCCGGCCCTGGTAGGTCCATGACTCCAACTGGTTCTCGGAACAGAACGAGGCCAACACCTGGCACAGAACGATTCGCACCCAACAGCGCAACGGTCAAGAGCCACAGGGATCCTACCAATATATCAATTGACTACTGACCAAGACATATGTTTGTATCATATGTATTGTATTGTAATATATATATATACATTATTGTTATAATATGTTATTATTATATATATAATGTTTATATAGTCATATAAATGTCATATATATATATAATATTGGGAAATCCAGATTTGAAGAGTTTCTTTAGATCTTTGATCCAGTGCCTTTTTATGAAACCATCTCGGCCCAATGGGCCGTTGGGAGGCTCTGGAAATTCGCCGACCGGGACCTTGGCATTTTTTCGCCGACGGGAAATGATTTTCCATGGGTTTTCCATGGTTCAAAAAGGGCCACACAACAAACATGTTTGCAAAAACTAATCGATAGATGTTAAACTAGATTTTCTACGATTTTATTGTTATGATATTGTTCGTAACGATATTATCATAGGGGTTGAACAACGAATCGTATCGTGTTCACTGATCGTATGATATTAGTTATTCGAAATCCATCAGAAACTGATCGGATTTTGGCCATGGTTTCCACCATCCCAAGGACCCACCTGCAGTTTCACCGAAAAATGTCATGTCCTATTGCTCCTTCGATTCATCTTCCAAACCCTAAATCCATCCAAAAATCAATTTTTTGTATATGTTCCGTTGGTTACAGTACAAGTTGGATACCATTTTTTGATACTTCAATCCCATTTTGGGCAGCTTAAATCTGGAGGTTAGTTCATCGGTGTTATGTGGACGACTCCTACTTCCCTGCTTGTAACTGGGGTTATATTCTATTTCCTCTGGTAATCAAACATGGTTTGCTGGAAATCCCCCAATGTTTCATGATTTTACCATTGAAATGACGCTTTATAGTGGATTTCACAGCCGGCAATGTTTGATTACCAGATGGTACACAATCTTTTCCAATTGTCATAAACTCTGATCACAGATTTTTAGAGGGAAAAAAACACCCACAAAATCATAGGTCGATTGTTAGTGCGTGGATGGTAAAACAGTTGCAATATTTGATCTATGATCCCCACTATATAAAAAAAAATACATAAATCATTATATATCATGTCCATCAAACACCCCAAACTTAAGCTATAGTGTTCATCTATATAGCTTCATTATAAGTCCAATAATGTGGGTATACCTCAAGGTAACCCCATGCCGAGGCGACATGCTCCATGGCGTGCATGTCCAGTTCCAGGGGATCCGAGTCGTGCACCTCAGATGTCTTGTGGATGTTTCGTGGATTTTGAAGGTCATTTTCGGACAAAATACACTGTTTTTTTTGGGGGGGGAAACTTCTGACGTTGGCCAGTAGCAGATTCGCTGGTCATTGTGTTCGACCGCAGCTTTCTGGTACAATCATGACAACCCCTCACCTTCACCCCTTTGCCCACGACGTGAGCTGAATCACTGCAGGGCCTGCCAACCATGGCTGTGGATCAGGCCGAAGCCACCTGATCAGATCAAATATCAGATCTCTGCCGCGGCACTCCAACCCTCCTCAAAAGCACATTCATGCTTTCTTCCTTGGTCATTCGTGCTTTGGGCTGTGCCTCTAGGATGGTTGTTGCAACTTGTGTGCCGCCATTGGTCGACGAAGGCATCACAAGTGTGCCTGCTGCTTCCGTGCAGTTCTGAATCTTGGCCGCAAAGCCGGCAAAGCTGGGCCGCAGGCTGTCTCCAGTACAGTCCAGGGCCAACTTAATGAGCGAGTCTGCCAAGTGCTCCGGCCATTGATGTTCTACTTGTGCTTTTGCGACCACAAAGGTTTGCGGTGGCCCGTGGGCAGTCTCTCCACGGGTCAACAGCTCAAAGAAGATGATGCCAGAGCATAACGCTTGTCGCCCTAAATCTTGGGCATTGGTGCCCACCCGACCACCTCAGAGTTGAAGGTGGAGGTTTCAGACAGCACAGCCATGCCGAAGTCTGCAACCTTAGCAGTACCTCGGAAATCGAGCAGAACATTGTCGAGCTTGATGTCGCGGTGGAAAACCTTGGGGCGACACCCTTGCAGGAATGCAAGGCCTTTGCTGATGTCGTGGGCAATCTGCAAGCGGGCCTGCCAGTGGAGCTCTGAGTCCAAGTACAGCCGGGCTCTCAAATCTGCGCTGGCCAGCTCGTAGACCAAGGAACCCGGAAAGGCAAATCCAATGAGTGTAACAATATTCGGATGCCGGACGCGCCCCAGCACCTTGATCTCTGCCTGAGAGCTTGTAGGATCTGAATTCTTGACGGCAACATGTGTGCCACACCGCAGGGTGCCTCTGAAAACAAGGCCGTTGTAGCCCCCACGCCTTTGGCAGAAATGGCAAGTGGCATGCTGTAGCCCCTTCTGAAACCCTTGGAGCACCCTGCAGACAGGGTCTGCGGATGGGCTCTGAGCGTCCATGGAGTCCTGGGTCTCACATGCGAACTGCAGAAATGTAGCGCAACTGCTGCGACAGCTGCAAACACTGCAGCCCCAGTGACCACTGGAGCCCAAATGGGCGATGTTGCAACTGCTGTCGTTGCAGTCGCTGCTCCTGCGATCGCTGCAGAAGCCGATGCAGCTCCAACTGCTGCAGTTGCCGTTGTCATTGACGTTGCCATGGTCAGCGGGGCCGCCCCAGCACCCATCAAGTCCCCAGACATTCCCAGAGCTGAAGGTTACAGGCTCCATGGCTGCGGGCCGCCCTGGATCGCTGTGGATCCCTGCGCGTAGATCTAGGAGTGGGTGCCTGACCCGCGATTGGCACTGCCTCTGTCATAAGATGTTCTGCCCTAGGTAGACTCTGAGGAAGCCAGCGGCTTGCCTTGCAATACCTGACCACAGCTATGAAAGCCTCATCAGAGCAGCCGCATCCACAACTACCATCATTTCAGACTTGCAATCTGAACAAGGTTCCTTTTTGTTCAACATGCTCCTCCAGTCCTCACATTGAAATCTGTTTGAGATGGTTTGAGAGTTTTCGATTGGCAAGCCAGCATCTGAAAATCCATCCGACTGTCCGTACATGTTATAGTAGTGGCAGATCGTGGCTATTTCGAGCTAACACCCACGTTTCCGCAAAGGAACACGTCTCAAGGGACACAACCCTCCATTTCCAGTGCATGCCCGGTCTGAATGTTGGGGCCTAGCTCACCTTAACTCCGCCCAATTGTACAGAGATGTTTCATGGCATTTTTGGATATCTTTCCTCCAAAAGAAAAATGAAGCAAAAGTCACGGAATGAGGCGTGTTGACATCCACTTCTACAATCCTGGGTTTCAGGCGCTTCCTATAATTTCTACCGCAATATGGCAAACCACTTTCTTGACCCACAGTGTCCAGAGGTTGCTGCTTGCATACATACTATCTTTTTACACACAAACACACACCATGATTGTACATACAATGCATATATATGCATATATATATATACATATATATATATATGTATAGATAGGGATGTAGTTAATCATATTTTATGTTATATATATATATATGTAGATGCGTACTTAGTGTGTATTAATGTGTATTGTGTATTGTGTATGTGTGTCTACATATCATATGTCACTTGTGGCAGCTCCACTTCGGCACCTTCACATGCCGAGAACTCAATGGCAGCCCCGACTTCTCTCGGGGATCGCCGGCCTGGTGCAACGATTATTGGAAGTCAAGAATGGTCCCGACTATGAAGGATGTTGCATGATGTTACTGTTCTATCTTTTGGGCGGTTGAATCTATGTATATATATATGTAATATGTATGTATACACAGTATGCAGATAATACCAGTACATAGGCATGTCTTCGTCAACATTGTCTTAAGACAAAATATACGATTGATTTCACGCCAGACACGGGGAAGATGAAGCCGGTAGGTATATATCTGGTTCCTCATCATGGAAGGGATATGAATATGGCACCCCAAAATGGGGATACCAATGGAGCCACTTCAACGGCTCATTTTTGGAACTAAACAATCCACTTTCGAGAATTCAATACTGGTTGGTGGTTTCAACCCCTCTGAAAAATATTATATAGTCAGTTGGGATGATTATTCCCAATGTATGGAAAAGTAAAAAATGTTCCAAACCACCAACCAGAATAATGTTGAGCCATTACCAAATGGCATGGCACGGCTCTGAATCGGTTCTTTTTCAGAAGCAAAATCACCTGCCAGAAAAACGTACTGGGATCCTCTTCATGGAAAAGGATTGTGGAAAAGGATTGCTCCGGCTGAAACCACCAATCCATTTAACGGACATATTAAATACAAAGTTTTTGGAAACCCCTTCATTGAGAATTCAATACCACCAACGCAATAATATGCCAATAGAGCAGAACTCGTTCCATCTGTTCCAACGTTCTTTTCCAACGTTCTGTTGGCTACTGTGGAGAGTTTTGGACCAGTTGTTCTCCTCCACTTCCATCAGAGATTATATAAACTTATATAAATTATATTCCTTCGTTTATGGTGAAACAACTGCTGTAAGTCGTTGTTAACTCACCAAATGTTTGGCCACTTACCCACTGTTATATCCTTCCTAACCGAGAAAGACGTGCCACAGCTAATTGACCCTGTGCACCTCAGCGTTGGGATCGCCAGCGTCCAACATGCCCTCCAGCTGCTCATCGAGCTCTGAAAAATAGTCCTGAACTCGCTGTTGTCAATGGATTGGTTTAAGGGAAAATTTACAGGAAACCATAGATTTTCCCATTAAGTATGGGGCTTTCCTGTAAATTTTCCCTTAAACCAATCCATTGATGTTGAGGATGCCATCTGACGCAACAGATGCTACCAACAAAGAAACCCTGGGAACCCTTAGAACCTATTAGTCTTGGCAAATGAGTGAATCTTCATGAAGCATGGGCGGGATGTTCATTTTGCTGAATCATTACCATCTGGTTATTTAACATAGCCATGGAAAATCCCAAAAATAAATGGAGGTTTTTATGGGAAAATCATCTATAAATGGGCCATTTTCCATGGCTATGTTAAATAACTAGAGGGTATTATCCATTATATCCCCTATAAATCCCTATAAATCCCTATAAATCTTTATAAATCCTTATAAATCCCCATTGTTACCAGAGGGTACCATCAAAAAAGGATGGTGCTTTCACCAGTCCTTCATCTCGCCGAGGCCGCCCTCCTCGCCCTCTTCGTCCTCGTCCTCGCCCTGGTGCCAGAGGGAAATTGGGCGGCAGTTTCTTTTGATTTGGAGGTTAAGATAGGCAACATGTGCATCAATTTGGTGAAGAAATATCAACACAGTGTTTATAACATCCACATATCAGCTTTTAATAGTTTTTTCTAATAATCTGGATATCCGATCATTAACTTAACCAAAATGTCCAGGTTCACCAACAAATTGGGGGTGCCAACAATAATCAGATATTAGCTACAAAAAATCAGGGCAGGTATATAACTTTGATGGAAACCAAGTGCAAGGAGATCCACAACAATCATGGGATAGGAGCAAAGATCAAACGGGAGATCGCAAAAAAAAAAGATAAACTGAATATATATATACTTATAATTAACTATTTTTATAACTCGAATGTCCATCGTAGCTGTTTGGTGTTTGAACCCCCCATGTCCAGATGTCGAGTCTTGAGCCTCTCCCTCCTCCTCCATGCCCAAGACGTCTAAGGGCTCCTTGATCCAAAGGGATCGGTTTTCCGATCGACATCAGTGGATGTGTTCTTCGCAACCCAAAAGTGGTGCTTGTTTTTTGGCCAACCTGAAAATGATGGGGAAAACATCATGGACGTTCACCATCCTGGTTTAGACTTTTAGGCGTCTTTGTGGGGGTTATACTATAAATCCTATCTCAAGTGAAACCATCAGCCCCAAGACTCCAGGACTTGTGGTGTCTATGTTTGTCAGGTAACTGTAACTGGGATGGTGCGCCATTTGGCACGGTGATTTGGATGGATTTCAATCCGCTTGTCACTGTGGTTCCATGCCGTTACTGCTCCCCTTAAATTCATAGGATTTAACCCAAACCATTTACTGTCTCCTTGAGGATTTTCCAGCCCGCCAAGTCCAATGTCCACCGTTCCAGCAAATAAAATTCATGACATGTTGCAAGACCGACACTGATACTGCTCAAGAATCGGAGAATGATCAAGAAAATCAAGTGGGGGCTGCGCCAGCTAAGAGATCCCTCAAAAAGAAACTCTGCAGTTGTCATGAAACTTGTTGATTGGTTGGTTCATCGATCCCTATCCCTCTGGTCATTTAACAGTTTGCTATTGAAAATGGCAATTTATAGTGAGTTTTCCCATCAAAAATGGTAGATCTTTCCATAGTTATGTAAACTTTTACCAGGCCGGGTATCCCTGGTGGTAAAAATTCCAGGCCGGGATGACCACGGGGCGGGCTCTGGGACCCTGGGACCCACACGGAACCGGAGCTTTCACTGCCGCCTAGATGACGAGTCGGTCGGGATTTCGGCATTTTTTTGGAATAGATGAAATAACCATGGAAAAAACCATAGAAAAACCATGGAAAAAACCATAGAAAAACCATGGGAAAACCATAGAATAACCGTGAAACATGGGTTTTCCCAGGGATTTTTCAGTTTTTTCTATGGGTTTTCTATAACTTATTTACCCTCTGGTAAACTAACATAGCTATGGAAATTCACCATGTTTAATGGGAAAATCCACTATTTCTATGGTCATTTTCAATAGCAAACTGTTAAATTACCAGAGGGTAACTTGAATAACCATGAAACATGGGTTTTCCCATGGGTTTTTTCTATGGGTTTTCCATTGTCTGTCCAATGTCCATGGTTTTTCCGAATGTCACAGAATGTCACAGGCAATAAAAAACCCTCCAGTAAATTCACATAGACCCTGCCAGTCATCGGGGTTGGTTCAGACTAGTTTCCACTATAAATATAGGTCATTTTCAGGGTCCAACTGTTAAATTACCAGGGGGTAAGGTTTTTCCACAGTTTTTCTCCAGGAATTTTCCTGAAAATGGTCCCCAAGAACCGATCCTTCACTGGTCTGCGACGTGCTAAGACTTGGACTGTCCGAGCCGGGCCCTGTACTCGCCTGAGACGATTTTGAGGATTTTGGTCGACCAAATACCACGGTAACCAGTTCTATTTCCAGAATTAGTGGTTACCCCCTGGTAAACTAACATAGCTATGGAAAATCACTATTTTTAATGGGTAAATCCACTATAAATGGCTATTTTCAATAGCTATGTTAAATTACCGGAGGGTAAAAAAAAAATGATTGGTGGATTGAAACCGACCAGTTGAGCAGTCCATCACCTCCAATAAACCAGGTAGCACAAACCAACAATGACCAATCAACCATTAATCACTACAATTGATCAATGATTAATGGTAGTGATTGATGATGATTAATGGTTAATTACTGGTTTCATTAATCAACCATTATTTCCCCTGTTTTGCTGTTTATCCCTCAATCAATGATGTATATGATGTTCACGATGAGTAAAGCTTCACTAAATCACTTATCAACCTAAAGTTTTACTGCTTGACGCCCATATTTGGTTGTTCAATAGTGTTACCCTCCAGTAGATTGACAACCTCCCAAAAGGCTTGGAAGGTTAGTTTCCACAATAAATAGGTCCTGTTCAGGGTCTCTATATTTACTGGAGGCTAAATCCGTATGTTTCGCCAACCATACTTCCACCCCCAGCTCAACGGCGAGCGGTCAACGCCTTGGCGGACTTCTCAGCTTCCATGCCATCCAGGCTTGAGGAGCCTTCGGGGCGGCAGAAGCTGGGCCTGGGCCCCACTATGCGTTGACGTCAACGCGTGCGTCATCGCAGGGGCCTTGGAGGAGCTCAGCGATTTTGGAGCCCATGGCGGCCACTTCCTTCTTCAACCTTGGCGCCGGGCGTTTTCGGGCGGTGGACAGCTGCCTGTTGGTAGCTGAAAATGATGGAGTTCTTCCCCAAAAGAGACATATGGAATTTCCTGAACCATATGGTGTTTTTTTAATATATCTGTTCATGCTTTTCCTTGCGGATTGGTGGTTCATACAATTTCTAACTTGTTAATTCAGACGTTGCATGCCCATGCATGCCCTACAATATTATACTCCATTTCAATGGGTTACACACATTTTAGCTCACCGTTAGCTTGCCCACCAGCATCCACATCCTCCACTCTGCAGCGCAGTCGAAATCTTTTCGGCCACTGCACTGCACGGCCGCTGCGAAGGTGGGCGGCACCTGAACGGGGGGACTGAGATGATTCACGAAGCTTGGAGATGGGGAGATATATCATATATGTATATATATATATACATATATATATATATGTATCTATATATGTGTATGTATATATATGTGTATATATATATATGTATCCACATAAAATATATCTACTACACATATATATATAAGATACAATAATGCTAGATTGCATTTTACAGGTGACAAACATATAATGGAAGTATTTAACTTCAACACCAAGTTGTATTGCTCAGAGCTGGAAAAAAGATTCATTTTAAAAATCAAATTGTTGGATCATAGAAGTTACAAGTCAGTTCTGTATAGTTCTGTGATGAACTTCAAAAGTTGCTTTCAATTCGGCACCCCAGCAAATCACCCATGCCAAATTATGGCCAAATATCCAATGAGAAAACCGAACAAACAGTCGGCAAGCGCTCATGAACTGCAGTTGATCCTAAACACCCCGCAAAATGAAGAGATCCAATACGAAATGAGGGTTTCAACGGGTGTATTTAACACATTAAGATCATTAAGCTGGGTAGATTGTAATATCTCACTAACCTGAATAGTTCGGCCCACACGGGGGATGATTTCCCTCAAATAAGCCATGATTCCACTGAGGGAGACTAGTGAGGTCGTTATAATTTAGCCAGATAAGATGTAATAAGTTATACCCTCTGGTAAACTAACATAGCTATTGAAAATGGTCATTTACAGTTGATTTACCCATTAAAAATGGTGATTCAGCCAAAAAGTGGAACATCTCTTGCGATGCGACTGCTGTGCCGTTCCTCAGGCGTCAGTCGCTGTCACAGCAGTCTGAGTCGCAGTGTCGCTGGCAGGCGAAATTCCAGAAGTCCGCTAAAGCCCTGCGCTGCAGGCTGCGAATTCCGTATGGGTCAAGTCATTATGGTACACAAAAAAAACAAGAGAAGGATGGTCAATAAAAATGTCAATGCTAAGAAATGACCTTCAAAACTTGTCAAAACCTTCCTCGTTTGAAATTTTAAGCCCAACCAACCATGGCATGCGGCGCAACCGTGCTGTCGTTCGTTCAGAGATTTAACCGATTTTCACCGGGCCTTCCGGGGGAACAGCACGGGCGGAAGCCCAAGCAACGCAAGAAATAGAAAGAGAAACACCAGGGCGTCATCAGCACAAAGTAGACCTGGGCAGCTGCCGATGCCGCAGATTATGTTGGATAAAAAAATACATCCCCCTCCAATGGGCAAACATCCACCTCATGATACCTGGTGCTTGCTCGAATCCCTTTATTCTGTACAACTGATCTTGCAAAACCTGAATGAATGCAATTTGCAAATGATGTCCCCACAACAACATCTTTAGGGTTCATGAGCTCGTTCCAGTGGTTCCCACAACCTTCAACACCTGCATCCCCATGCTGCCCAGGCACTAGCCAAAGCACAGGCCAGAGGAGCCAAAGCATCAGTGTCAACAAGATGATCAAAAGGTGAAGACATGGAACCAAGATCCTAAGATCCATCTGGGCTGGGTTGCTGGGTCTGGCTCGGGCTGAAGAGCCACCGTAACGGTCCCCAAAAAAAAAAAAACGATGCGATTTCGCAAGGCATAGGAATTGAAGGGATCATGTAGCCGCAGCCAATGGGCTTTACCACCGCTTAAAACCTTGGTGATGGTGCCATGCGCCATGCCCACTTTGGCTCCACCATGGCCTTGGATGATTCCTCGTACCAGCCATGATTTCTGTTGAGCTCGGTGTGGTGGTTTGGTATATCCACATGTTTTTGGGTGATCACAACCTTGGAAAAAAAATAGAAAGCCACAGCTGCTATTGCGCGAGAACAACATCTCATCCGAAGCATCAAGTTTGTCAAGTCCAAAACTTTCTAGACTATCCGATTTTTAATATTAAATTAATACCCACTACAGTAATTCATATGTTCTTGATGTATCTATCTATCCTCCATTTTGTCATGTTGAGTTCTCCACGATATAAACTCAACAGAACTTAAGTATCCGATCTTGGGAGTTTTAAACCCCTATGTTACATGGGTTGTTTGCATAGTTGCATATATTTGCACCTTTTTTACCGTTCCTCATGTTGACGCCCAGGGACCGCAAGAAACACATGGAGGGCGTCAGGCAGTAGGTGGGACATTGACCCAGGCTCTCCTGCACTGCGATTGAAATTTGCCCATGATCCACCAACAAAAGCACTGAGAAAAAACTTATTTGGGGATGGGTCAAAACCTTGTACCCCTGTAGTTCACATCAAAGTAGCTGGTAAATGGATGTTCATCCCACTAAAAATGGTATTAATAGGTATTGATCCATACCCATTTAATCATCAACTACTGTAACAGGGTGGGCATGGCTCAGTTGGTAAACCCACCCGTTGAAAAAAAACCCAACAATCCCAGCTAAGGATGAACACACATACTTGAAACCACCAAAGAGTTTTTGGCTTTCCGATATGTTACATCCTCCTGTTCCCATTGAAGTTTGCTACAGCTGCTGTATCCCATGCTATCCCCAAAGTCCGACCCCAAGGGGGATCGCACATCAAAAGCACAATCGAAATGACAATTTCAATGGGAAATTGTGATGAAGTCATGATTGACCACGGGATTGCTGGATTTCAGGCTACTAAAAACTTAAAAAAAACAAACCAAAATTGGCATTCGTACTTTTGGAATCATCATAGTATATCATAGTGCATTCTATCCCACTTACAAACCACTTCTTAGCTTCACAGATCCAGAACATCTCAGCACGGCCATTGATTTACCTTGTTGACCCCATCTGAACTGGCTTCGGGTCCAAATTCTTTACGAAAACCCTACTCAACACTATACGAAACCACCACCGAAGCAACCGAAACATTTCATTCCACCACACCCCGATTCTGTACCATTTTGATCTCCATAATCCCAGAATATATCGAACTAATTAAATGCTCTTCTATATTGTTGATTGTGATATTTTCTCCTGTTGGCCAAAGCTACGTTGTTTTCTCAGTTCAATCACAAAGCCGATGCCATCTTGTTGCCGGCTAGGCATTCTCCCATCATACATAAATAAACAGTTCCACCATCTCGGTTGAAGCCCCATCCCATTATAAACATCTTCCAGATAATGTTGGGAAATTTTGGAAAATAATGTTTACTTATGTTTACTTGGGATTATTCCAAAATGTTCCAAATATCTTTGCCTCCAATCCCGGACCCGGCGACCCGGGTTTTAGGTTAACGGTGTCACGGCCATTCCGATGGTCCCACAGGATCCGACAAACGCTGTTAATTGATATGACTATGATTAAATGGTTACTATATGTTACTAATGTCAACCCCGGATTAATAAACCATGTTTTATTAATTTATATGTGGTACTCCTCTAATAGTCATAATCTAATACTTAAATGGTACCCTCCCAATTAGACAGCCCAGGGGTTTATTAATCCAGGGTTGACATTATATCAAATACTTGCTATGTGAGGTTCCTTTTTCATCCATCTGGTTAATATTAATGTCCGCCGACCCTGCCTAGCACTTGCCAAGGCAGGGTGGCGCCTGGGACCACCCTAGGTGTGGAACGTTGCTTTTCTTGCCTATCCAGCATGACCTACTTTTCGATTACTTTTCGACGTACTTTTCTTGTTTCTCGACTATGCTGTGGCATTTCCAATGTTACACGTTGTGTTTGCATCCGCTGCTCAATGGCCAAAATGTTTCCCGGCGCGTTAGTTAGCCTGTTGCTCCCCCGTCTTTCTCATCTAACCGCCCACATTATTATACAAGCAAATTCTATGGGGTTAATACCAAAGACAGGGGAGCAACACCTTATAGAAAACAATAACATAAATCAGAACAACAAACAACAAAAAGAAAAAACAAAACAACATAAGCAATACAATAGATTGTAAAATAGACTATACCAAAAACCATAACAACAAACCAAAACAAAAGACAATTTCACTTTTATAAAATGAAATTTAACTATCATTCTTCTTCAAATTCTCCTCATGCTTCAAAGTGTTTGTGTGCCTCTTGTAATTTTGAGTTTGAATTTCATAATCATCACTTCAAATTTATGGAGATAACCAACATAAATTTCATAATCATTTACTATTAAGATTAAGGGATTAATTACCACAGTCTCCCCCTATGGGGGAAGCCTCAGCCCCCAGCCAATATCTTTCTCAACATATCTCTTTAAATTACCGCAATTACCATGCCCAAACCGCCCTTCATGAACTTGTTGATAACCATGTCTTCTTAACCTCAGTGCGATGTAAATGGCACAGCGATCCAAACTTTTGGGGCGAAATGGAGTGAAAAAGATTTGTGTGGTGTGCGTCCCAGACTTGTTGGTGACAGTCTTCTCAAGTTTTTGGAAGGGTTTGTCTTTGTATCAGGCATGAATGCACTGAATGTCAAGCTTGCGAAGGCTCACTGGCATGAATGCTCTATTGAAGCAATGTCCTATTCCTACTTGACACCCTGAAACCTTGCTACCTACAGACCTTGTCAATCATAAAAGCATCTGCTAAGAGCACTATTTTGCAAAGTCGCCCTGTTGGCGAAGCAAGCACGTGCTTTGTAAGTCGCCCTGTTGGCGAAGCAAGCACTGCTTTGTAAGTCGCCCT